TATCTGTCCATCTGTCCGTCTGACTGTCTGTCTATCTGTTTATTTCTCTATCTATATACTTACTTTACTGTCTATCTCCTTATCTCTCTATCTATATATCTATTTACCTTTTATCTATCTCTTTATTTTGATCTGTCTATCTATCTATCTACCTAACTATCTATCTATCTGTCTATCAATCTATCTATTTATCCTTTATCTGTCTGTTTATCTTGATTTGTATATCTGTCTGTCTATCTATCAATCTATCTACCTATCTATTTATGTATCTGTCTATCAATCTATCTCTCTATCTGTTTATCTATATATCTATATCTATCTATATATCTACCTATCAACCAATCTATCTGACTATCAATCAATCTATCTATCTATCTATCTATCTATCTATCACAAAATACATTCCCCAAACTAAAATTGGTACATTATTCGATCCAAAAACTCCTAGTTACTAGACCTGGCATCATTAATAACATGTGATAAGTGATTGGTAAACTCGGCAATTAAGAAGCAAGATTGGCCAATCAAGATTAGAGATCGCTAATTACCGAGGAAAGATTGATTAAGGGTCTATCATTTATTTACTTATTTCATTATCCCTAAATTCTTAACTGTATTTAACGGTAATGAAATGCTAGCAAGTCTGATTCATAAAATCACGCCACAAGCAAGGACAGTTATGAAATCTTGTCTAGTATCAGGTTATGTTATTGAAAGGTGAGTTAGTGATATTGTTCTCTCTAGTTCTTTCATTCTTTGTCTGTCTGTCTGTCTGTCTGTCTCTCTCTCTCTCTCTGTCACTCTCTCTCTCTCTCTCTCTCTCTCTCTCTCTCTCTCTCTCTCTCTCTCTCTCTCTCTCTCTCTCTCTCTCTCTCTCTCTCTCTCTCTCTCCTCTCCCTCTTCTCTCTCTCTCTCTCTCTCTCTCTCTCTCTCTCTCTCTCTCTCTCTCTCTCTCTCTCTCTCTCTCTCTCTCTCTCTCTCTCTCTCTCTCTCTCTCTCTCTCTCTCTGTCTCTCTCTCTCTCTCTCTCTCTCTCTCTCTCTCTCTCTCTCTCTCTCTCTCTCTCTCTCTCTCTCTCTCTCTCTCTCTCTCTCTCTCTCTCTCTCTCTCTCTCTCTCTCTCTCTCTCTCTCTCTCTCTCTCTCTCTCTCACACACACACACACACACGCACACGCATACACATAAACATCTGTGTGCGTAGACATAAGAACGATTTTTCGATAATCATTAAATTTCAACATCGTAATCATTTTAGCGTAATTATCACATGTAACGATTTATCCCTTGCCTCATTTATCCTCATATTTTCGTGCACACTCATGCGTGAGTTTAAACAGGCTCTGTGCTCACGATCGCCCATGTCTTATGCTTTCATCCACCTCACAACATGCGTGCAATAACGGCATAAGAGATGGGTTTTAAGAGGCATCAAACATTGAAGTTTAGAAGCGTCTATATACTATATGCTATGTGATGCAACAACGGAGATGGTGAAATGGTATGATAAATTTGTTGATTTTAAGATAATAGAGACAAAATTAAATGATGAGCTTCATGTATCAATTTAGAAATATTATTGTAGTAATCACAGCTGGGAATATTAAGTATTCAGAGTTCATTCACTTTTATTCACTTTTATTATCACTTATTGTTATTTATTCACTTTATTATCACTGTTATTATGTTATTTTATTCACTTTATTATCACTGTTATTATTGTTATTTTATTCACTTTTATTATCACTGTTATTATTGTTATTTTATTCACTTTTATTATCACTGTTATTATTGTTATTTTATTCACTTTTATTATCACTGTTATTATTGCTACTGCTGATATTGCTACCACTGTTATTATTATCAATATGTTAATGATAATGAAGATAATGATAATGACAATAATGATAATAGAAATGAAAATAATAATGATAATAATAATGAAAATAATAATGATAATAATAATGATAATAATAACAACAACAACAACAACAATAATGATAATGATAATAATAATAGTAATAATAATAATAATAATAATAATAATGATAATAATAATAATAATAATAATAACAATGGCACTGATAATGATGATGATGATAATGACTATCAACATTATCATTATTTCATATCATTGTTATAATCATTTACATGTATAACCATCATCGATAAGTATCATTATCATTATCATTACAGTCATCGTTGTTGATGACGTCAACATTCTTTTTATTGTTGTTATTATTTCATTATCATTACTACTACTATTAGTATCTCAGTTATTGTTTTTATTATCATTAATATAATTATCATTACCGCTGTTATTTTTCATTAATATTGCTATTGTTATTATCATTATTATCATCATTACTATCACTATTGTTGTTTTTGTTGTTACTATTTATCTTATCATTATCATCATCATAATTACTATTAGTAGCAGTAGTAGTATTACCATTATCTTAATCAATCTTCTTGTTTTCCTTCTTATTATTATTACTATTGTTATTAAAATTATAATTATTATCATCAATATCATTATAATCGTTATTATTATTATCATTGATAATATCATACTAATTATCATCATCATCACCGTTATCATTACCATTATAATCATAAATAATTTTATCATCATTATTATCATTATCATCAGCATTATTAATATTATTGTTCTTATCATTATTACACAGAAACACACACATACATACACATGTATATATAAATACATATATATATACATATATATGTTACTATTATATTCATACATATATATATATATATATATATATATATAGTATATATATATATAATATATATATATATATATATATATTATATTATGTGTGTGTGTGTGTGTGTGTGTGTGTGTGTGTGTGTGTGTGTGTGTGTGTGTGTGTGTGCTGTGTGTGTGTATGTGAACTGTGTGTGTGTGTGTGTATATATATGTATATATATTATATATATATATATATATATATATATATATATATATATATATATATATATATATATATATATATATTATACATGTGTGTGTGTGTGTGTGTGTGTGTGTGTGTGTGTGGTGTGTGTGGTGTGTGTGTGTGTGTGTGTGTGTGTGTGTGTGTGTGTGTGTGTGTGTGTGTGGTGTGTGTGTGTGTGTGTGTGTGTGTGTGTGTGTGTGTGTGTGTGTATGTGTGTGTGTGTGTGTGTGTGTGTGTGTATAGATCGATAGAGAGATAGATAGACGGATAGAAGTTGCGAGAGAGAGAAGAGAGTGAGAGAAAGCTAGAGTAAGAGAGAAAATGATAAGGATGAGTATGGCAATAATAATAATAATAACAACATCAACAGTAACCACAGCATCAGGAGCAACAACAACAATAACAAGATTACTAGTACCATGAACAACAGCATAACCAGAAACATCAGCAGCGGTAATATTGATAGCAGTAGTAACAGTAGGCATCATAACAACAATAGAAAGAGCAATGATGCATGATTGAAATGACAAAAAATAATGATGACCTCATTAGCATAACGAGAGAAAGCGAAAGGCAGACAAAGACAAACGCAGTATAATAAGGAAGAGTAATGGACGTAAGAAAGTTCCCGTTTTGCATTCATTCGGTCGCCGTGACTCCCACCAGCTGGTCAAGCGAGGCGAAGGCAAGGCGTCCAACCTGTGATAAAGCTCTAGTGCCAAGAATTTCGCCATCCGTTCGCCCCGAGATTCAGCAAATGCGCTCGTTTCCCCGCACGACGATGACGTCATAAACACACTGTTACGTCACGGGAGATTGACGCCTCGGAGCCAATCAGAAGGAAGTCGTGACGGCGGGCTGAAGTCTTAAATTGAGGCTGTCAGATAACAGGCTGGAATCGTCTGTCTTGAGGGAGGGTGGACGCTTAACCCATCACCCCCCCCCCTGCACCCCCTTCCCCTTCCCCCTGCCAGGACCCCTCCTCTGCCCCCCCCCCAGCCACGGAGTGTGTAAGGTAGAAAGTTATTGCTGGCCGAAGGTCGAAATTAAGATGATGTTTAAGCAAGAACTGCGGTGAAAGCACAGGGCGAGAGGGATGCACGAGATAAGAGCGTAGAAATAAAGATATATGAATATCAAGTGTGCAAACAGCGCATGTGTGTGTATGTAAATACATGCAAGCCATATATATATATATATATATATAATATATATATATATATATATATATATATATATATATATATATATATAGAGAGAGAGAGAGCGAGGAGAGAGAGAGAGAGAGAGAGAGAGAGAGAGGAGTGAGAGAGATACACACACACACACGCACATACACACACACATGCAACACACACACACACACACACACACACACACACACAGATATTTATATAATATTATATATATATATATATATATATATATATATATATATATATATATGTATATATATATTATTATATTTATTTATTTTATTGATACTGACATACTGATATATATATTGAAATATATGTAGACATAGACACACACACACGAACACAAGCGTATCATATATACATGTATATACATAATACATACATATATATATATATATATATATATATATATATATATATATATAATATATATATATATATATATATATATATATATATATATATATATATATACATACGTATATATATGTATATATATATATATATATTATATATATATATATATATATATAGATAGATAGATAGATAGATAGATAGATAGATAGATAGATAGATAGATAGATAGATATATAGATATATAATATATATACATGGACATATATATATATATATATATATATATATATATTATATATGTATATGTATATATAGATATATATAAACATATACATGAACATATATATATATATATATATATATATATATATATATATATATATATATATATATATATACACACACACACACACACACAATACCACACACCACACACACACACACACACGCAGAGGTTGAGATTAAAAATCGATGATTTCCGGCAATGATTTCGGAGAGCTTTTTTCAAAATTCACGCCTGGGCTCGCAACTGTTTTCTGGAGTCGCCGTTTATGCTTTAATGGCGCTGTACTCCAGAACCAGCTGTTGGGTCTTGCGCAGGCTAACAGGCAATGCTGCTCAATCCTTTTTATATCATGTTGTCTCTGCTGCTGTAAAGTCACGTGTTGGATTCAGCAAAGAAAAGAGGTTGTGGAAAACTTAAACACCGTACGTTGTCGATTACAAAGAAAGTAGAGATGCTTAAAAAGAAGAAGAAGAAGAAGAAGAAAAAAAAAAGGCGAACATGAACATATTATTTACTTTTCATTTACTGTATGAAGTTTTTTTCTTTTTTAAGTACTGTACACGTCCTCATTTTCTGTTAAATATATATGCTCTATATGACCCTAAAAATCCGTCATTTTTAGAAAATCCGGCACTCATCATGTCTATAGGTTGCCTGAACTTTGAATATCAATCTAAACACACGCACACAACAAAGACAGCACACAGCACAAATTCAACACACACAGAATCTCCACATAAGGCCAACAAGTCTCTCGCCCTCAGCCCTCTCTCGAGCCACATCGCCCTCAGCCCTCTCTCGAGCCACGCCTAAACTCAGCCCTCTCTCGAGCCACGTTCTCTCCTCAGCCCTCTCTCGAGCCACGCCTCAGTCTCTCGCCCTCCTCTCTCGAGCCCTCAAGTCTCTCGCCCTCAGCCCTCTCTCGAGCCACGCCTCAGTTCTCTCCCCTCAGCCCTCTCTCGAGCCACGCCTCAAGTCTCTCGCCCTCAGCCCTCTCTCGAGCCACGCCTCCAGTCTCTTCGCCCTCAGCCCTCTCTCGAGCCACGCCTCAAGTCTCTCGCCCCCTCAGCCCTCTCTCGAGCCACGCCCTCAAGTCTCTCGCCCTCAGCCCTCTCTCGAGCCACGCCTCCAGTCTCTCGCCCTCGCCCTCTCTCGAGCCACGCCTCCAGTCTCTCCCCCTCAGCCCTCTCTCGAAGCCACGCCTCAAGTCTCTCCCCCTCAGCCCTCTCTCGAGCCACGCCTCCAGTCTCTCGCCCTCAGCCCTCTCTCGAGCCACGCCTCAACTCTCTCGCCCTCAGCCCTCTCTCGAGCCACGCCTCAAGTCTCTCGCCTCAGCCCCTCTCTCGAGCCACGCCTCAGTCTCTCGCCCTCAGCCTCTCTCCCACTCCTCAGTCTCTCGCCTCAGCCCTCTCTCGAGCCACGCCTCCAGTCTCTCGGCCCTCAGCCCTCTCTCAGCCCTCTTCTCTCGGGCCCTCTCTCAACGCCTCCAGTCTCTCGAGCCCTCTCTCAGTGCCTCTCTCTCGCCCTCAGCCCTCTCTTCGAGCCAAGTCTCCCCCTCAGCCCTCTCTCGAGCCACGCCTCTCCAGTCTTCTTCGCCCTTCAGCCCTCTCTCGAGCCACGCCACAAGTCTCTCGCCCTCAGCCCTCTCTCGAGCCACGCCTACAAGTCTCTCGCCCTCAGCCCTCTCTCGAGCCACGCCTCCAGTCTCTCGCCCTCAGCCCTCTCTCGGCCACGCCCTCCAGTCTCTCGCCCTCAGCCCTCTCGAGCCACGCCTCCGTCTCTTCGCCCTCAGCCCTCTCTCGAGCCACGCCATCGCCTTCCACGTCAGTTTCTCGCCCTCAGCCCTCTCTCGAGCCACGCCTCCAGTCTCTCGCCCTCAGCCCTCTCTCGAGCCACGCCTCCAGTCTCTCTCTCAGCCCCTCTCTCGCGCCACAGCTCTCAAATCTCTCCCCCTCAGCTCGAGCCACGCCTCAAGTCTCTCAGCCCTCTCAGCCCTCTCTCTCGAGCCCACGCCTTCAAGCCCTCTCTCTCGCCCTCAGCCCTCTCTCGAGCCACGCCTCAAGTCTCTCGCCCTCAGCCCTCTCTCGAGCCACGCCTCCTCAGTCTCTCTCGCCCTCAGCCCTCTCTCGAGCCACGCCTACAAAGTCTCTCCCTCAGCCCTCTCTCGAGCCACGCCTTCTCTCACCCTCAGCCCTCTCTCGAGCCACGCCTCCTCTCGCCCTCAGCCCTCTCTCGAGCCACGTTCTCAAGTCTCTCGCCCTCAGCCCTCTCCGAGCCAGCCTCTCTCTCGAGCCCTCAGCCCTCTCAAGCCCCCTCGCCCTCGCCCTCAAGCCCCTCTCTCGAGCCACGCCTACAAGTCTCTCGCCCTCAGCCCTCTCTCGAGCCCTCAAGTCTCTCGCCCTCAGCCCTCTCTCGAGCCACGCCACAAAGTCTCCTAATTACAAACGACGTACATTATGGCCGGCGCGAGTGACTCCGAGATGGAATCGCCTAATAACTGATTCCTATCTGCGCTAAACGGAGACTGATTAAAACGCAGAGAAGGATGAGGAATGCTCGGCAAGGTCGGTGAGAGCGCGAGGGGTGTGTGGGCGTATTTTTTAAATGTTATTTTATTTATTTTTTGTTTGTTTATTTATTTTTTTACTTGTTTGTTTATCTGTATGTTCGTCTACTTGTCTGGCTGTCTGTGTTTATTTAACTTTCTCTTTTTCAGTCTCTTTTTTATTTCTCTTTTATGTGTTTTTCTTTTTTTCCCTTACACCGTCCTTCGATGTCTCCCCCGTCTCTCACTTACTCACTCACTCACTCTCTCTCTCTCTCTCTCACCCCTCTCTCTCTCTCTCTTTCTTTCCCTTCCTCCCTTCCTCCCTCCCTCCCTTCTCTCTCTCCCTCCCTCCCTCCCTCTCTCTCTCCCTCCTCCCTCTCTCTCTCGCAATCTCTCTTCCTCTCTTCCCCTCTTCTCCCTTCCTTCCATGTCTCTATCTTTATTCTTTTATGCTCTCTAAGCTTATCTTCCTCCTCATCTTGATTGCTTATTCGTTTATATATTTTCCTCTTTCTCCCGTTTATGCCTTGACACCTTTTATCACCGCATGTGCTATTACTGTATATTTTTTATCAGTTTTTCTAAATGTTTTTGTTTCTATCATTGTTTTTTAGTATCAAAGTATTATTGTTGTCGCTGCTAGTATTATCATTTTTATTATCATTAGTATCATTGTTATGATGATTATTATCATTATTCTTATTATAATCAATGTTATTATTCCTATTTTTTGTTTATCACTATTACATTATTATCATTATTTATTATTATTATCATTATCATATTATTATTATCATTATCATTATTATCATCATTATTATCATTATCATTATTATTATTATTATTATTATTACTATTATTATTATTATTATTATTATTATTATTATTATATTATTATTATTATTATTATTATCATCATTATTATTATTATTATTATTATTATCATCAGTATTATTATTGATATTATTATTATTATCATTATTTTTCTATAGTTATTGTTACTATTATAATTTTCACTGTTATTATTATTATTATCATTATCATTATTATCATAATCATTACTTCTATCCATTAATATTAGTATCAGTATTACTATTACTAGTACCAGTACTACTACAAATATTCTATTATCATTATTATTACTATCATCATCATCATCGTTTATCATTATTATTACTATTATTATTATTGTTATCATTATTATCATTATCATTATCATTATTATTATTGTTGTTGTTGTTGTTATCATTATCATTATAATCATCATTATCATTACTATATTGATTATAACCATAGAGATAGCTTCATCATTATCAATATCATTATCATTATTTCCATTATGATGTGTATATGCATATGATAAACATAGTGGTTATAAAAACATTGGCCTTAGCATCCCCATTATCGCTGTCATTATTGTAAAATAGTAAAACAAAAAATTAAGTAAATGAGAAGAAAAAGTGTTAAAAAGCAACAAAAGTTCGACGAAACAAGATGTGAAGATCTTGCTTACAAGCCCATTGCAGACGGCCTTCCTCACTTGCCTCTCTCCTGTTCCTCTTCTACTCCTCTTTCTTGCCCCTTCCCTGTCTCCTTCTCCATCTCTCTCCCCCTTTCTACTCCTCTTTCTTGCCCCTTCCCTCTCTCCTGTTCCTCATCTTCCCCCTTCTCCTCCTCTTTCTTGTCCCTCTCCCCCTGTCTCCTTCTCCATCTCTCTCCCCCTTTCTACTCCTCTTTTTCTTGCCCCTTCCTCTCTCCTGTTCCTCTTCCTCCACCCTTCTCCTCCTCTTTCTTGTCACTTCCCTGTCTCCTTCTCCATCTCTCCCCCCCTTTCTACTCCTCTTTCTTGCCCCTTCCCTGTCTCCTTCTCCATCTCTCTCCCCCTTTCTACTCCTCTTTCTTGCCCCTTCCCTCTCTCCTGTTCCTCTTCCTCCCCCTTCTCCTCCTCTTTTCTTGTCACTTCACTGTCTCCTTCTCCATCTCTCTCCCCCTTTCTACTCCTCTTTCTTTGCCCCTTCCCTGTCTCCTCTCCATCTCTCCCCCTTTCTACTCCTCTTTCTTGTCCCCTCCCTCTCTCCTGTTCCTCTTCCTCCTCCCTTTCTCCTCCTCTTTCTTGTCCCTCTCCCCTGTCTCCTTTTCCATCTCTCTCCCTCTTTCTACACCTCTTTCTTGCCCCCTCCCTCTCTCCTGTTCCTCTTCCTCCCCCCCTTCTCCTCCTCTTTTCTTGTCTCTCCCCCTGTCTCCTTCTCCATCTCTCTCCCCCTTTCTACTCCTCTTCCTTGCCCCTTCCCTGTCTCCTTCTCCATCTTCTCTCCCCCTTTCTACTCCTCTTTCTTGCCCCCTCCCTCTCTCCTGTCCTTCTCCCTCCCCCTTCTCCTCCTCTTTCTCACCCCTTCCCTGCCTCCTTTCTCCATCTCTCTCCCCCTTTCTACTCCTCTTTCTTGCCCCCTCCCTCTCTCCTGTTCCTCTTCCTCCCCCCTTCTCCTCCTCTTTCTTGTCCCTCCCCCTGTCTCCTTCTCCATCTCTCTCCCCCTTTCTACTCCTCTTTCTTGCCCCTTCCCTGTCTCCTTCTCCATCTCTCTCCCCCTTTCTACTCCTCTTTCTTGCCCCCTCCCTCTCTCCTGTTCATCTTCCTTCCCCCTTCTCCTCCTCTTTTCTTGCCACTTCCCTGTCTCCTTCTACCTCTCTCTACGCCTTTCCCTCCTTCTCCCTCTCTCCCTTTCTCCTCCCTCTACCTCTCTCCTCACTCCTTCTCCTCCTCTCCTCCCTCTTCCCTGTATCTTTCTCCCTCTCTCCCTCTCTCTAATTATTTTCTCCTACTCTACTTCTCCCCCTCTCCCCTCTATCCCCTCCCTCTCCGTCTAACCCTTTCCTCCCTCTCATCCTCTTTCCCTATCCGTTCCCTTCCCCCTCTTCTCTTTTTCCTTCCTTCCCCTTCTTCCCTCCCTCCTCTCATCTCTCCCATTCCCCTCTTTCCCCGTTCCTCCACCCACCTCCTCTCTCCCGTCTCCCTCTTCTCCACTTCTAACACGCCTCCACCCGTCAACCCCCTCCTTCTCTCCACATCCCCTTCCACCCCCAACCACCCGTCATCCCCCTACCCCCTACCTCCTCCCTCACCCATCCAAGCCCCCTCTAGCCCCTTCCACCCGCACCCCCACCCACCCCCTCACCTGCCGCACCTCCTCTTCACCTGCCACCACCTAGGTAGACCCTATCTAATTGGAGCAAGGAGGCCAGACAGGCGCAACCCACGCTCAAGACCGGGCAGGGATCGCGCCCTCCTAGCTCGGAGGTCGTCAATTAACAATGGCTATCATAAGACGTGTAATAAGCAATATCTTCAAAGGCGCCGCTATTAAGGAACAATGACCATCACAAAAAGGTAATGGGGGATCATATGTTATAAAGTAAGGCCGCAGAGTTCATAAGTGTGGATGAACAGAGCTTCTCCTCTCGACAGCGTTCAGTGTTCAAGCTTCTACATGGAGCGGCAAGTCGGAGGAAGATCGAGAAGAAAATCGCCAGAAGGACTTGAGGTGAAACGTGTCGATGAAGGTAAAAAGAGAAAGAAAAAGAAGAGAAGTTGGTAATGATAATAATAAAAAAAGAGAAAAAAGAAAAAAAATTATATATAAAAAGAGAGAGGAGGCCCATTGCACAAAGAAAAGTGATCCGGCATTATTGGTTAAATCATTATTTTCTTCTCTTCACCTGAAAAAGAAGAAGAAGAAGAAGAAAAAAAAATCTGTTGTCCATAAATACCATCCACAGTCACCAAAACGAACGACGAAGAATTCCGAAAAAGGTTCTAAGATCTATTGGAAAAAGAAAAGGTAGAATTTCGATCAGTTGAGGTCAGCTTGAGATATGGGATCGCCATCTGCGCTCTTTCTAATTACCAATAACTATTACATATGTTGACTACCGAATTTCATATCTCATTTCTCTTGTCTGGGTCACGAAACTGTCCGGTTTGAATATTCATAAACCGAACAGAAGATGGTGTGCGAATAGCGGACATGGGGAAAAAAAAAATGTTGTATGCGTTTTCTTGATTATTATCTTTCTTTCTTTTTTTTAAATCTGATTAATCTCTTGGTTTATATCCGTGAGAATTTCCACTTGTAATACCTCGAGGATTTTTAAACACTTATGTGGATGGTCTCGCGTGAATGGGCTTGTAAGATTAACATGGAAATATTATGTATCTTTTTCTTGTAAGAAAGATGGAAACATAAAGTATTTTTTCTTGAAAGAGAAACATGGAAATATGATATATTTTTCGTTTATCTTGTGTGGAATAATTGCGAATTTTAACACTGTTCTAAACCATGTTTCGAATTCTGTCTCGAACAACCAAATAATACGATGTTTGTTGGCTCGGTTAAAGAGGTTTGAAGCTTCGTTCACGGTAGAGGAATTTTATGCCTGACCAGGACAAAGGAATATGTAAATGAATATATATCAATAAAAGCGAGTATTACCTGGTACATGTCTTTACCGATACGTGTATTGAATGTTTCCTTAAACATACACGAATACACACACACACGCACAAACACACACACAAAAACACACACATTACATACCATATTCTTTTACCCCAATCATGAAAATTGAGGAAAAATCCCATGTCTCCATCCCCCTAAACCTGTCAATCATGTCATGCACTTCACCCGCCAGACATCATTGCCAGAAGTAATAATAAATCACTTCACTGATTCTTCTTGGACACGTCATCTCAGGGGATAATGCCTACCTGAGAAAAACACTAATAAATGTTCAAGGTAATCAACTCAAAAAGTAATTAAAGGTAATAACTACCGCCAAAATGTAAGATCACGCGGAAGAACAAAAAAAGAAGAGGAACAAGTAAAAGAAAAAGAA